TTGATTAAATTTACTCTTTTCGATGTTTCTGGCTCGCGAACAAAGCAGTTACCGCAAAGACACCAAAGTTACTGATGCACGATACTGTTCGTGGCGGCGCGGCTGCAGCGCTGCGAGCCCTCCATACAAGGCTGCTGAAGTCTTTCCAATTTGTCCTATGTAATTTAAATATGTTTAGCATTTTATTCCACAGGTTAGAGGTAAATTGTGCAAATATCCGAATCGTGACACCGCTCCCTGCTTAATTGTGTAGATCCAAAGAATAGGCGCATCCTTGATTATCTCTGATTGACATGAATTGTTTTATCCTAAATAAAACTAAACAATTTATTGTTTCTAATATACGGCGGAAGCCCGAAAGCTTGCCACCGGAACGGCAGCATCGCTCATCACTTGATGCAGCCATCGGCTCGATGCCAACCCTTGTCTACGATGTCTTTGCATTTCCTTAACATCATTTTTGCGAAGTAAAGCAATAATCTTTAATTGTTTATTTTAAAATTGCTTTTACGTCTCAAAGGACATTGAATGCAGTGGATGCAGGGCTGCCTGAATCTCCCTGCCATCTGGTGAAATCAAAAAGTAAATACTGAACGAACACTGAACCGACATGGAAATGAAATAATAGAGGCTCAATATTCAAAAAGTAAATCTAGCATTGCACTCATTTGGCTTGGTACGGGTTGATTGGCTGCAGCGACTACGGTTTAAGGTTTAGGGTTTAGTGTTTAGTGTTTAGCGGTTAGGATCCAGGGTCTACCTTTTAGTAGTTGGGGTGCAAGGCTACATGCGCCTGTTCAGCCTGCTGCAAGCCTATAATCCCTATGTCTAGCCAGTTTTCGACAGAATTCGTATCCCCCTAAACCGTAAACCCTATGCGCTGAACCCTAAATGCGCAGAAGTGAATCCGTTTGTGGTAAAGAAGTATAGCAGTTAAAATTTTTCCTGAGCCCTGTTTTGCAATATATCCGATCCAAACAGTGAAAAAGACGGCGCGCCGTTTGGGGTTTAGAATTAAGGCTTTAGGGTCTAGGGTCTAGTGTTTCGCAAAGGATGGCATGCACATTCATCATCTTAAACATATGAAAGCATATATAGTATTATATATGTATATGTATATATGTATACATATATGTCCAGAATGGGGGAATGCAGGGATGCACTCACAATAAAAGGAGTCAACGAGAAATGAAAAAAGAAGTCTTCAAC